TGATGGATTTTTAACTCTTATTTTATTAGTTATTCAATGAATTATGATAAACTTGTTCTACAGTTATCAGTTTGTTCATTTCTTTTGTTGTAGTTCCATCAGTTTTTTGTTTCATATATTTTTAAAGTATGTTATCAGGTCAGGCACAGTGGCTCAAATCTGTAATCCTAGCACTTTGGGAAGCAGAGGTGGCTGGATTGTTTGAGGTCAGGAGTTTCAGACCAGCCTGGTCAACATGGTGAAACCCCACCTCTAGGAAAAATACAAAAATTAACTGAGGTTGGTTGTGGGCACATTTAGTCCCAGTTACTCTGGAGGCTGAAGCAGGAGAATCACTTGAACCTGGGAGGTGGAGGTTGCAGTGAGCTGAGATCATATCACTGTACTCCAGCCTGGATGACAGAGTGAGACAGTCACAAAAACAATAATAAATACATAAATAAATAAATAGTATGTTATCAGATATGAAAAATCTAAGCATTATTATGTCTTTTTGATAGGTTTGAGACTACCATACTAAAAGTCCTTTTTTGTTTCTAGAAATGATTTTTGCCTTAGATCTACATTTTCTAATATCAGTATTGCTAAATCAATTGATTTTTGGTCTCTGAGATAATTTTTTTATTCTTTTCTTTACAAATTTTCTGTACTTTTATGTTTTAGATAAGCCTTACAGAGACAGAATATAGGTTTTTTCTTTTGCTTTTGTATTTATTTATTTATTTGTTTGTTTGTTTGTTTTTTAGTGTAGTGTAAAAAACTTTATAAGAAGCCAGGCATGATGGGTCATTCTTGCAATCCCAGCACTTTAGAAGGCCTAGATGATCAGATCGCTGAGGCCAGGAGTACAAGACCAGCCTAGGCAACATAGCTAAACTCTGTCTCTACAAAAAATACAAAAATTAGCCAGGAGTGGTGGTGTGTGTGTCTGTAGTCTTACTCAGGAGGCTGGGGCAGGAGGAGCACTTGAGCTGGGGAGGTCATGTTAAGGCTGCAGTGAACTGTGACCCCCACACTTCAGCATGGTTGAT